ATGCCTGCGCATAGTGTGAGCCTTACTATAAACATTTGTATCAGTGCAGCCTAAACAATTAGCCTTCAAAAAGCTACAAGTTCTCCTTTTCTTTCTCACTTCAGGATAATGCTTGTCACTGCCATTACTCAACACACTGAATGTTAGGATTAGCAGGAGCGCCAGAGAGCTATCTCCTGGAAACACAGATGACTTTCACGCTAATCGTCCCCTCACCTAAAGAGGGAGGTAACCAGAGAGCCAAACTCCTGAAAAAACAGAACAGTCCCTTACCGGAAATGTGATATGGTAAAGAGGTGATAAAGAGGCTGTCACCAACTAGCAGGGGATATTCAGAGTCACGAAAGCGACTGGAAAAAGTGACTGGAACGACCATCTGTATGCCACGTTGGTGTTTTTCAGTTATGTGCAGTTGTAAACCAAGAGTCTGTGGGTTTTCATTGCGACCTAACAAGCAGCTCATTTCACAGTTTAGCACACCTTAAACCAGAGAGGAACTATGAAATCAGTTACCACACTATATCTGTGGAATGAATAGCTGCTGGCCACTGCATTATGTTGACAGTATTCCATTAAGATAAGTGAGCTAATGGGTGTCTGGCCACGGGTTGTCTGCTGTGATGACCCCAACCTCAGACTGAGGGAGAGCAGTCGCCTACGTTCCATCTCTCATTTCCTGGTTACACAGCTGACAAAAGCTCCAACATGACATAGATGTGACCCGTCACCCACCGGTTATGACTTGGAGAGTCTTGACAAAAGAACTCCACAGATCAGGGCTGTGCACATTATGTCATTCACTCCGGACACACAATCTCAGCGAGGTAATCCAGCAGGGGTTTGAAACTGAAGGACATATGTCTTATTAGCATGCTTTCCTCCTTTCTTTCCCGCACTGTTATCAGTAAACATATCAATCAGACAGAGAAAGAGCTTTTAACTACTAAATTAGATTCTTTGCACAGGGCTTGATTCCCTCTGCAAGAGACTCCTCTGTTTGATTGCCATTAATTGATGCTCAACGAGGTTTAAACAGCAACATGGCCAAACTCTGGCTGTCTTTCATAGCGTAGATATATGAGGGAACAAGAACAGGATTTCATTAAGCCCCACAATACGCACAGGGGCCATAAAAGGCTCCAGCTTGTTGCTATGGAGCTTTGACTTGTACCAAGGAATACATAAGCAGAAACTGGATACTTATTGTGGATACAGAGCACGGCCTGGCTCATATCAAAAGCACAGCGGTGAGATGGCTTGACTTACAGGAATATTTTTTTTCCACTTATATTCCAGATGGATGGTCTAAGAGATAAAATACATTGGTGGGATTTTAAGCCCTCCATACACTGCATTTTCATCCTAACTAAGTCAGCGTGTGTTTGGAGCTTCCTGCTGAGATGTTGCAGCATAATCTGTCCTTAATGCTTTATTCTACACAATGAGGTTATTAGTAGGTTTCATTGAAATGCAGAAATACGTATACTAACACTGAGGGTTATATTTGCCTCGGATTTTACTGTTTCACCCGGTACATTTATGAATACCAGGGTTTTAATTAGAGCCCAACCACTATGTTTTTTTGAGGCTGATAGTAATATTGTTATTATCATTATTTACAACAATGTATTGGTATTTTTTCATAAACACATAACATAAAAAAGCATGTTTGATTAGGACCTCTAAAATCAGTTTTAATATAAGATATGTACTGAGCAGGACATATTAGTGCTTACTTAAAACACATCTTTGCTATTCCTGCACAGCAATTTAATTTTTATTTAATTTATTACCCACCAACCTATATGCCAATACCTTTGTACCTTTGTATTGAAATGAATTACTATATTTAGTTTACTATGTTTATAATGGCATTGACTTATACACAGGCAACAGCACTTGCATGCAGATACAGATGTGCATACACAAACATACACAAACACACACACACACACACACACACACACACATTAGGCCATTCACTTCCTGAGCCCCAGAGAGTCACTAATGCAGAAGAGAAGCTGCCAGTGGAACAGTTACTAGTTGCCTCATGCTGCTACACTCTTGTTAATACAATTCCCCCTCTACTGTCTTCAGCTCATTTCAGCAGAGACACTGTCTTTCATATGCGCTCTGTGAATCTGCTTCCCTCAGATAATATACCGAGGTCCTTTGGGACTCTCCAGAGACTCCAGGCAGACAAGATGTGCTTGTCTGATAAAAGAAAGTGATGTGTACAAGTGTAAACATTCAATATTATTCACTCGCTGCTCGCTCGCTGCCTTGCGCTGCCTCTTATCTGGAGCTCTCTGGCTGGGGGCTTTTCTCTCTCTTGCGAAGCCATTTGTAAAGCCTAATTCAATTGGAGTGGAGAGGCATTTCATATTTGATGCATGGACATGCGCCTTAAAGACAAAGCTGATATCGCTTTGTACCACTAGGGCGGAGGTGTGTTTATGAAGAACAGAATAAGTCTGAGTGCTATTTTTCTCCTGAGCTTTTTATTTATCAAGATTACACTGTCAAACATGATCACAGACATACACATGCTGACAACATGGCACAGGGTTGTGCTTATTTGAAGAAACCGGAACAAGCAAATGAAATTCAGTTCCTGTATTACCTAAGAAAAAAAAGAAGAAGAAGATTATGAGGATGATGAAGAGGCAATGGTATATGGAGACTTATCTCCGATGCAGTAATTTTATTAAATGTTATTTTTAGTTGTAGAGAAGGGACAAAATGACAAAAACAGAAGGAATTTTAACTGCATTTCTCCTGTGGTGCTAAAAATAAGACTGATGTTTTCTTATGATTCAAATGTTATTGTGACATTTTTCAAAGCTGACACAAATTAGGGTAACTTCCATGTCTGCCTGCAAATGTAACCGCCATTTGATGCTTCAGTCCTTTTTCTTTCTTTTCACTATTTGAGTAATTTTGTCCGTCTCTGTATTGCAGTCCAGTGTTTTTAGTTGTCTTTGTTCATTTTAGATGCTGGTCCCTTGTACTGGTGCAGCCTCACTGCTCAAATATGCAAACACACAATTGTTCTGTCTGACTTCGTGTTGGCTGTGATATTTTGTTGTCTTTGCACCCTGCATGTCAGTATTGACTCTGATGTAACACCGTACCAGTTCCACCATGCAAGCATCACTTTGCGTGAAGCCACATCACCTTGTGTAATGATCTGCTTGTAACAGGTAAACTATTGAAAATATTTGCAAGTTAGGGCAAAACAAGAGCTGAAAAAATAGCTTCTAATCCAACATTGCTCCACAATGTACAGTTCAGATGTAACATTACTGCAGTGAAATGCATTATTTACAGATAAGGTCATCTGTTGAACATAATCCCAGCACCGTGGTGGACAACGGTGTGGCAAAAAAACATATTTTTGTTCCATCCTGTATAAACTAGAGGAAGATCAATGGGCGTAAGCCACGGCTACTGCACATTGGCTAACTACAGTATGTTGACACTTTCCACTTCAGTTACTGCCAGTCACTCTGCACTCTTCATGAAGACAGAACCTGCATTCAGGGCAAACTGCTGCATAATTTGAATAAATCATTCTGGATGAAGCTCCATTAACATCATTAGTAAAAGATTTAGGTTGCTAACGAGGCAGAAAACGCTTGCATCCTCAGTAAATGACCTTGTTTATTAGAGGAGTTACTTATTGATTGTTTGATTACATTTTTCTGGGTCAAGGTCCACGCTCAGCTGTAATTAAGCTTGCACTGTATAAAAATTAGCAGAGGAAGAGTTTCCTGACCTTTTGTTTTCCTCTACCGCAAAGTACTTGCACTGTGTTACTTAACTCTTTGCAACAATCTGGTTACCCTCTATGAAAATTAGTCCATGACTCATATTGAACTGTCATAACATAAGATTGAATTTAGAATACATGATTCATCCCAACAGACAACAGAATTCTCTTTATTCATTATGACAGCTTTCACATTTGCCATTCTAATTGAATGGCTTTGTTTTTTCATGGGAAAAAATACTCTGATGCATGAGAGCTAATATTTCTGTTTCATCTGTTTGTATGGAGTATTTAAAAAAAAGAACTAAGCTCAACTTATCACAGATATCTGTGTATATGTCGACTTATAATTAACAAGAAATTGCAGTATGGAAGTGCAAAAGATATATTCAAGGTGATTTAGGGTACAGCCATGTTATGTGAGGCTGTACAAAGTGAACATGCTCATAATGACAATTATGACAACATGCTTAGAGCTGGGCAGCAGGAATGAGCAGTGATATCCAGCATGGCTGAACAAACAAAAACAACTGTTATGCCTACAGAACCTCACACTTTATGAACAGAAAATCCAAAGACATCACAGATTGAAGGGCTGAACTCTCTTGGAACCGAAAATGTAGACAAAATTAAAAAAAAAAGAGTGTCACTAGTTGCTGATTTTTGGTTAAAAGAACACAGTGGGGGGTATATTGCAATATCACTGCACAGTCAAACTGGAAAATATAAGGAGAGATTCAATCTTAAGGAAGGGTTTATATATAAAAGCAATAATTTCATTTTTTTGTTCTACAGTATCTTAGCAGTTATATTATACTGTACCAGCAGGAATAAATAAGATCTCTGCCTTTCTCTCCCTGCGCTGTTGAATTATCTCTTTCTAATTATGCACCACTCCACTGTCTCATTTCAACAGGAAATACATCATATTAATGAAACAAGATGCTCTCATGGTGCCTATAAACACTGATTCATCTATCTTTTAGAGCTGTGGTCCTTCAGTGTGTCTAGCAGGTCCTCAGCTGTACGCCCTGATTAGACAGCCAGAGTGAGAGCTAGCAGGCAGAAAAAGAAAAGCAGAACCAATTTAGTCCCATACAAAAATCCACACGCTAGCTCTTTGAAAATGAAAGATAATAACACATCATATTATCTGTGCACGTCATACTTCCTGTAAATTTCTAGGTGACTCGCTAACAGATGAACCCTTTCTGTCTTCCCAACGCAGTTCCTGTGCCTGAAGAATATTAGGACTTTCCTGGCAGCGTGCAACGAGACGTTCGGCATGAAGAAAAGCGAGCTGTTCGAGGCCTTTGACCTTTTTGACGTCAGAGACTTTGGAAAGGTAAGGCGGCATTGCTCAGCGACGCAGAATGAGATAGAGGCAACAACAGCCTGCCGCACCAACCCTCACTGTGTTTGCCAGCTGTCCCCAAAGACTGAAGTGAATTAGTGAAATGTGTTTCTACGCCTACTCTTGTCTTTGTGTGGAAGTTATGGAGCTTAGTCAAAATTATTTATAAGTGAAAGAGCTCCTTTATCTTGGACTGGATTTTAAATTATAATGAAGTTCTTGGGATATGCATGCAGAGTCTGTTCTCCTTTTTTTTTTACAAAGATGTATACAAGCCTGGCCTTTGATATTTCAGCCAAATTTTGGATAATCTTTGTATAGTTCAACCTGCAAAAATCAGCAATTTCAGTGTCAATTAGTAGATCAATTAGTAGACGTTCTTACTGGCATTACAGGTGCTAATAAACACAGTGTTAGGCCAGATTGCAGCTTTCCTCACACTCCTAAAACCTGGTGTAAAAGCTGAAGTCAGCAACATGACCCAGCAGCTTAAGCACTTCCTCTCATTAGAGTGAAAATGCCTCAGCGTTCAGGCTTTTACAAGGGGTTAAAAGTCTAGCCTCGGGTTCATTACTTTGATACTCTCAGTGTCTGCTTGTAGTGAAGCTGTCTGCGGCAGTGTGACACCCTCGCAAAGTCCCCAGGAGGTTTAATTAGAAATGGCAGCCTTGAGCAGAGAGAGGGTGCTGCTAGACCCCGGTGCACATGACGTCAGGCGTTTATGAGACGAGATGGGGTCATGTGTCCGAGATAAAATGTATGTGTCAGTGGGAGAAACATAGGAAGAAATATTGATTGGTGAGTTGTCATTGTATTCCATTTAATCATGATGAATGTGAAGAAGTGGTATTTAGAGCATCGTGGGAAGCTAAATCCTCCAGTGACACCAACAATTATAAATATTATAATAATGGCAGACAAAAAAAACTCCTGTACACATTATGCATTTATTCAGCTCTACAATTAAGCACGTTAATAGTATCATATCCATCATATCAGAAGTGAAACACAGACACAGACTGATTTCTATCATCTGATTTATAATAAAAAAGAACAGTGGTTTCTGTTTTGGTGCCGTTTGATTAGCTTTTATTACGTGACTGTTATGAGAGATCACATCCTACAGTATGAAAAGAAGAACTAATCGTCACTTAGGGTGAATCAAGCTTTAGGTATTTTATGATGAATGGAAAAATACCTAGTCTCTTGAACTTCCCATTTCATGGCAAACACACACAATCGGCAGCAACACTACCAGAGAAAAGTTTACGAAAGGCAACAGCTTGTGAAATGAAGGCGTGTGACACTTGAGGGGCAGACTTTTGCTGAATATGCGTCAACCTTGTCCTCCCAAAATAAACCATTTGACTGAACTTTACAACTCCTCTGATCATTGATTAGAACATAACAAATTCATCTACAGTGTTCCCAGTGGAGGCTGGCGCTCAAGTATTTTAGTGTTTTTTTCCCTGAAACTGAAAATGTAAAATGACTAATCAACCAATATACCGAGCAATGTTCACATGATGAAGGCTTTGACTTGCAAAATATATGCTAATACTGTCTCTTAGATTAACTTCAAATGATTTAATATGTATGAAAAAAGCCACTCACCGTACAATGAACTAAAGCTCTTATCTTAGAGAAAATGAGAAGACTTTAGATATGGTCAACAGCAGCTTTTTATCCCTACTTGGTGTCTTGCTGAGCTATAATAACTAGCTGTGAAAATTAAGTCATTTAGTCATTAAGTCATGTATAATTAAAGCACATTTCGACCGCTGGCAAGTTTCTTTCTTCATCCTCTTGGGGGAAATATTTTCACAGAAAATCTACAGAAGAACCAACAATGGCTCAATGAATTAATATGCAAATACAAATCTTTATGCTTACTACTGAAATGTTTCTGTTAGGGGCTTTGAATATAAAAAGCACATGAATGCAAAATCACAAGGATGAGGAAAATCTACAAAGTTCAGCCCCCGTATGAATTTAAATAAACACTTAGAAAAACAGAGAAGGTCTAATAGGCTGAAGCTACTATTGGAAAAGCCCATGAAAACCACCACGTTTGGCAAGTTCCCAATCATTAAATCCAGTTAATTAACAGCATGGATTTTTAAGAAAATGGGTTGCACACATCATGTCCATTGATCTGATGTGTGCAAGTTCAACATTTGGGGAAATATGTTTGTTCAGTTTTAAGTTCAGAGCTGAGTGAGACGGTCGATACCACTCATGTCTACAGCAGGAAGCCTGGTAGCTTAGCTAAGAGTAAAAACAGCAATGTGTGGTGTGGGGGTTGTGTGCAAGACTACATTTAGACTGTGGGGTTTTTGTACAGATTAAACAAAATAAAATATAATGTATTCATTAGTGAGTTTTAGATGTAGTGGTCGGCGGATTTTGCGCTAAGCTAAGCTAAACTAAGCTAAGCTAGCAGACTTTTGGATGTAGCTTCATATTTAACATTTAGATATGAGAATGGTATCGATCTTCTCGTGTAACTCTCAGCAAGAAATTGTATTTCTCAAATGTTGAACTTTTGCTTTAATATCTGACATCTTCTCCAGTTGTTTAAGCAGTTCGAGTTCTGAATGAATATTACACCCAAAACTCTTTTCTGTGATAGTTCTCATCATAGCTTGAATGTCCAATTTGTTTTTTAGTTTCTGCCTGAGTTAAGATGATAAACTCCTTTCAAGCACAGAATCAGTTTTTATGATGATTTGATTTATCCTCATTCCTCTTAGTGATTTCAGTTTGCTCAAACACAACACTTTGATGACTCTCTTGAGTGAATCCCACACTGCTCAGAGAGAATTTAACATCTCTGAAATTAGACAGCAAACCGGCCCCCGTAATCCTCGGTTGGCTGGCTCTGAGGCTAATGGAGTGAGGAGAGGAGGGGAATGGGCGAAGCTGCCACTCACCTGCAGTTCCAGCATTTTTTTTCCACTAACCTACTGAATAAAACATCATCGTGCCTGTTTTTTTTTTAAGGTTTGTGTGTATGTAGTCTTGATAGAGTCCTTGTGAGGAACACACGCTGAATATCTCTTTCCTTGGCCTACAATAGTTGTGCTGTGTAATCTAAGGTATTTTCCTGCCTGCTGTTATACCGGACATGTTGAGCAGAACTCACATGAGACAACCTTTACCATGCAGCCTGAACATTTGTCTTGACTCCTCTACCTTAAAAGCTGTGAAGGAATCCAGCTGTAAAGGAAGAGTCCCTGATGAGATTCAGGTCTTAGAAAACATGACCAGACTCAAAAGGCAGTGTGAGTAGTTGTGTATTTGAATTTGTGATAACACTGATAGATCTGACAGCTCCTGACCTGTTGGTGATTCAACCCGTTAGCCGTACAACATCCCAACACTAAGGAAACTGACAAATACAGCAGGTTTGTCTGTAGCCCTTTCGCCTCAGTGCAGGAACATCTGGTTTGCACATCTGTCTTGTAGACACACAGAGGGTTGTGGGGTCTGTAGGGAGAAGAGAAACTTGGCTGTGCAGAGCATGCACACACACTGATACACACCTGGCAGAGAGGGGAAGGGCGAGAGTGCACGAGAGTAGATATTGAGACCTACAATATCCTCTTGCCCTTTCAAGTCTGATTTTTATCAGAGTGGGCATTTGGTGGCTATTTGATGAAGGAGAACGAACATAAAACTGTAGATTTCACCGTAAACATGAGTATATAGCTATGCTGACATAACCGATGTCATATTGGGTAAAACATCATGTATCCTTGGTTGTGACATGATTGAAAATACATGCTGCCATCATCAGCACTGAGAGTGAGTGACTAACAGACTCACTTCTATTTTACTGCTTATTTCAGTCCTCTTGTATCAGTTCGTTTCAAAATAGAATCAAAGTGCTGACAGGAGCTTTCCATACTCACAGTCACATGATGGACAGCTGCTCGGTACATGGAAAAAATGTGTGATTTATTAGATAATGCATCATACATTAATTGAGGAACAGCGCTTTTCATTCAGTCGGCTGTTCTCACTGGCCACAGAACTGCGAAGTACAGTGACAGTGGACGCATTCTCATCTCAAACTGTGTGAAACAATGTGTTGCCCAATAAATTCACAATGTCACTAATAAAAAAAAATCAGATAATTACATGTATTTTTTTCTTATTTATGCATTCGAGTAAAACAGCAACACAGGAATTTATTAATTATTCCATTCTATCGCCTTCGGATGTTAAATGCTCATTTCACCACTAATTGTAACTGGTTTAATTACTAATTACAATGTGCAAATACTGATTTCACTTCACACAATGCGACTGGAATGATATTTTATTAAAGGCATATTTTGATGTTTTGGGAAATATGCCTATTTCTTGCCAACAGTTAGATGAGAAGGTGTGTGTGTGTTGTATGAAGTCATTGCTGGTTAGCTTTGCTTAGCATAAATATTGGAAAAAATCGATAAATCGATAGAGACAGCTGAAGAGTGACAGGAAAAGGGAGCAGTTTGTGAGTTGACTGTCTAGTGAAGCGTCGCTGAAGCTGCAGCTGAGACCCGCGACTCCAGCATCTGTTCACACGATCGCCAAAATAAAAAAAGACGTTCACACGCACTGCAGAAGCAGACAGTGTGGACCGGGCATTAGAGTATCTACTAGTTGCTTGGCAACCTCAACGCCAAGACTCGAGGATGTCATTGTGCTTGACCAGGAAGGCTTGCACATACTCCCTTTAAAACTACAAATTACCGTTTTTTAACGAATTAAACAATCAGTGAGCTTTTGAGGCACTGGTAGATGGAGTTTGTTACCTTTGGACAGGGTTTGTTTCCCAACTTTTTTAACTATAAATTGAAAGACTTACTTATTGTTCTGGACAACCATACTTAGAACCTCAAAGACAAGCTGTGAAGACACATCTGGATGATTGATGAACACTGTGGGCTTCATGTGGGCTGACTCCTACATGATAAGTAACCTCAGATCATCTGATACTC